GGGGGGGGGGGACGTCGTTTATTACTAGGGGGAAGCGATTATCATTATTACTAGTCTTGTTGTTTCTACTGTTATTATGCCTAGCAATAGCGCAGTTGCAGGCCTTCTTCTGTGGTGGTCGGAAGAGCATAGTTCTCCAGCAAAACCTGCGGGGGGCTTCTACACGTGCAAAAAGACTGGCAGCTTTCCTTGCAACGCCAGCATGGCACCCTATGACAGCCCATGTCCTCTAAACCCTAAAACCCCTGAACCCCTAAACCCCTAGCCCTAAACCCCAAACCCCTAACCCCGAGGAAGTCATAGATCAGTTGGACATGATACACCTACTCAGAGACTGATACACGAGCTACAGTCTAAACTCCTAGTACCCTCGGAGTTCAGAGTATAGGTCAGGGGAAGAGGAAGAGCTGCATGCTCCAAGACCCCGAAACCCTAAAACCCTAACCCCTAAGCCCTAAACCCCCAAGCCAACAGTGTTTGAAAGATGGCATGGCAAAGCCAACATCTCGAGACAGCTGCCCCTGCCTGGAATGTGCTGATATCACCCGAAGCAGCTGCCAAGTGCAAAGCCGACACCTTGCAACACAAATCTTCATGATAAGTTGTAGGGTTTAGGGCTTAGGGTTGAGGGTTGCAACGCAAATCCACACCATAAGCGTTTTACATCGTTTTACTGGGTTGCTGTTCAGGACCTTAAATAAAGTTACCAGAATACGGAAACCCCATTATTTACTATATACCCATATTATGGTAAAGTTCCTGAACAGCAACCCTGTTTAACCATTTCTACCAAGAAATGCCACCCTCGTACGACCCGTGCTCTCTCCAGAAAGGCAGCCTTTCAAATGCTGCATTCGCATGCACTCGCAGGAGTCTGCGGCGTGCCAGCTGTGTAGGGTTTAGGGATACCCGTGAAAGTGACACTCAATCAAGCAGAGCCCGGCCCCTTGACCAACTTCTATCCTGAAAGGAAACAACAAGAATACACAGCCGGGATCTTGCTTATCTCAGTGACAGTGGTGAGAACGATATGCTTGCAAGATGGGCGTATTCCAGAAACAGCGATCACTCCGTAGATCCTTTTGCTGGGTGCAGAGACATTGTAACTGTCATTGCATAATCATAACCCCAAACCCTGAGCCCTAAACCCTAGACCCCAAACCCTAGACCCCAAACACTGAGCCCTAAACCCTAAACCCCTAAACCCTAAACCCCTAAGCCCTAAACCCTAAACCCATGGAGAGTATGGTCGTTTCCCAAAATAGGGGGACCCCAATGAACTATAGTCCTTATTATGGGAACCCCCCAAAAAGGTACCCATAATTTTGGGAAACCCTAATCCCTATATCCCCTACATAGTCCCAGTTTCCATTTCATTTTGCAATTTCTTTTCCATTTGATTCTCCATTATAGTAGGTACCCCTAATTTTGGGCAACCCTAAACGCTAAACCCTAAACCCTAAGCCCTAAACCCCTGAACCCTAAATCAGAAACCCTAAACCCATGGAGAGTATGGCTTTCACATTGAGGAGCTCCACGCTCGTCGGTGTCGTTCACCCGCGCTCTCGCCAGCAGCCTCAGAATTTCCATGCATCTCTCGATTTGGGGTTTAGGGGAAGACGGTTTATAGGGATCAGGGTCTAGGGATTAGGGTTAGTAGGGTTTCGGGGAATAGGGTTTTAGGGGAATAGGGTTCTAGGGGAGTAGGGTTTTAGGGGAATAGGGTTTTAGGGGAATAGGGTCTAGGGTTTAGGGCTACCGTGAATGAACTTATGATTGGTGAAGAACTCACCCCTTGTCCAGAAATGTTCCTTGCAGGTGTTGCGTTGCTAGACGTTGACCCCTCTGGGCTAAGTCCGCAATGCTAAACCCTAAGTGAGTGGCAGTTTCTTGGTGGTTGAATCTGTAACCGTATAATCTGCAGAATAAATACTATGCCCAAAAGGAGGGGCATCATCTTACTCTGTATATTGGGTACCATAGCATCCCCAATCAAAATACTACTCCCTAAACCCTAAACCCTGAACCCTAAATAGTGTTTCAACAGTACTTCCATTTTCCCTTCCATAATCCCTATATAACCCGGTGGCGAGAAGCAAGGCTCTGATGACTTTGGCACGCCCAGTGTTGGCAGCATACATCCTTAGCAGCAGGAACTACGGCGGATACTGAAAATCCTGCATGACCCGAAGTCACTTATACCATGGGAATTATGGTACTTTAGTATACTACCCTAAACCCTAAACCCCTAAACCCTAAAGGGTCATGCAAGATTTCTAGTGATTCAAGTAATTATCAACACTATGAGCATCCATGATCAGGGCATGCCCAAGCCCAAGCCTGACCCTAAGGCTCTACAGCTACGAAGGACTTTCTAGGATTCTAGGGAAGCTTTGGGTGTGAGGGCTACTGCCAGAGATCTCACTACGGCAGTCCAAAAACCTGAGGGTAACCTCCTTATTTCTTCCTGCTAATATGAAATAATCTGTGATAGAGATTGCTGTTCATGCTGTTGAAACGAAAAAGTTGCACGAATTTTGATCGTTCCTCGAAGAATGACAAAAAGTGCAAATATCATTCGAACGCTTGAATTCATTCTGTTGCTCTCTTCGCGATCTCTCTGCTACTTACTTCTCTATCTGTCAGCCGAAAAGGCTATCCATTCTACGACTGCAATACATCGTAGGATTTCTCAAGCTGCGCCTAGATTGGCCAGCCATGCTGTTCTATAGCTGCTCCACTTGTTGATGTACGTTCTCTCAGGTTCTATCTTCTAGTCAAGCTGATTTCTAGGGTTCTTTGTTCCACCCTTCGGACCTAGGGTTCAGGCTTTAAGGTGTTGCGAGAATCATTGGGGAAAATTCCGACTGGCCCGAACCGTCCGGACCTTGCGCAGGCACGTGACTTATCACTTGGAGGGTCAGGGGGACTGAGTAAAGAGCTCAGTACCCCTGGAATGAATCAAGCCGCATATTATCACCGGTTTTCCCCATATTAACTTGGTTGCCCAGTATTAACTTGGTGGTTGATAACTGCGGGACAGTCTCTATCCGCAATCTGCACAATCGTTGTCAAGCGGCTAATCTAGTCAAATCCGGAATCCGAGGCCCCCTGAATTCCGTGAACCGCCGCCCATCCATAATCCTACTGGTTTGAGTTAGGTGGACCCGCCCCCCCCACCAGTAATAGTGATTATAACGGATAATAAGGATCATGTAAGGGTCCTCTTTTATTCTTATAATACCACTATTACAGGGTGAGGGGGTCCTCCTAAAGTAGAAGCATCAAGCCGACGGGTTAAAGACGTGTTGACATCTTCATTTCAGAGAGCCCTCAGGGGGAATTCAGCCCAAGACCTCCGGATCAGAGACTACTCCTCAACCACTAGTAGGGTTTAGGGTTAAGGGTCTAGGGTTTGGGGTTTAGGAGTTTAGGGTTAAGGGTTTGGGGTTTAGGATTAGGGTCTTAGAAGCACCTCGGATCACGCACCTAGTAAACTGCCTAATTGAATGTTTGTTTTTCACAGCATGCTTTGTAAAGGCCGTGTATAAGAAGAAATGATGGAAACCGTCATGAAGCCCGTAACTAATCCCCCAATCCGTAAACTTACTCGTGTAATCCCTACTTAACCCCCCCACGTAAACCTTATGATAATCCCTAAAATCACTCCCACACACGCCCTTAAGCACCAGTAAGCAAACGCAAAATAACAATTATTGATTACCGGCTGTATACCGTATTTACTATATTCTACTATAACTATATGATACAAAATGCTACCGTACTGTACCGTTTCACTCTATATCATACTAGATTCTACTATATTACACTATCCTATACGATCTTATACTGTCTTGTACTATCTCCTACTATCTTGTACTATATTGTACTGTCTCATACTATCTTATACTCTCTTGCACTATCTTATATTATCCTTTACTATGTTCTACTATCTTATTCTACATTGTCCTATCTGATACTATCTTCTACTGTCTATCTTATACGATCTTTTACTATAACCTTTCATATTAGACTGTATTATACTTCATAATCCTATATGACACTGTATTTTACTGGAGTATACTATACGATATCAGACTATACAATGTTGTATGAGTCCCCGCCCCCCCCATCCTCCAAGTATGTCATGCCAAGCCAAAGACTCAAAGCTGGCTGCAAGCAGACGTGAATGTGCTACGGTGGATACTAGAAATCCTGCATAACCCTATGTACCTTAAACCTTGGGAATAATGGGACTATAGTATATTAAGGTCATGCGGGATTTCTAGTATCAACAGTAGGTAGGTCTGCTTGCAAAACGCTAGTGTTACATACAAACGACAGGGGGGTATCGGTCATTACCTGGTTATGACTAGCATGTTCTCCTACCTAGTGAATGTGTCTACCATAAACTTGGGTACTGCCCCCACCCTGTAGCAGTCCATATTAGGGGACATATTGAGGGCTGGCTATATTCAACTTTATTATAAACATGATCCAGCTGGTTCCGATTTGTTGCCAAACACTTTTCTTGCAGGTGGTTCGTTCTTGGCGGGCCAGGTTGACTTCGTAAGTAGGTTGATGATGGGAATACTTGGGGTACTATATGGCTTATAGGGATTACCAGCCTACTTACTAAGTTCCCTAAACCCTAAACTCCCTCACCAAAGTTTCCCTGACCCTCCCCATAAGGAATGCCGGAATGCATCCCTGCAGAAGTCCCTACACAATTCCATGCCAATATGACCCATAATCTAAACTCGGTAAAAGGGGTTTAGGGTGTAGGGGTTAGGGTACACAGGGGACTATACTTATAGGGGACTACTATACGGGTTACTCAAAGTGATATTAGAAACTTAGACTACAGCTTATATCACCTATCCCCGCATTTCCAACTCATCCCGTCCTCCAGAATCATGAGCAAGTTCCCCAAATCATAGAATGGCTCCACAGTGGCATGTATTGACTATTTGAGAGTGTCGGCGTTGGGGAGGATTATGGGTCCTCGGCCACTTGACCCACTTGCCCCACTTGCCCCACTCGACCCACTTGACCCACTTGCCCCACTTGCCCAACTGGCCCCGCTCGACCCACTTGACCCACTTGCCCCACCTGCCCAACTGGCCCCACTTGCCCACTCGCCCCCGCTCGCACCACTTGCCCCACTTGACCCACTTGAGCCGCTTGACCCACTTGACACACTTGCCCCACTTGAGCCACTTGCCCCACTCGCCTCACTCGCCCCACTCGACCCGCTTCACTCGCCCCAAATAGGAATTGGGTCAAGTGGGGCAAGTGGCTCAAGTGGGGCAAGTGGGGCGAGTGGGGGCGAGTGGGGCAATTGGGACGGACGCTTTAAATGTTCCCCCCCCTACCCACTTGCCCACTCGCCCCGTGGGTCAAGTGGGGCAAGTGGCTCAAGTGGGTCAAGTGGGGCAAGTGGCTCAAGTGGGGCAAGTGTGTCAAGTGGGTCAAGCGGCTCAAGTGGGTCAAGTGGGGCAAGTGGTGCGAGCGGGGGCGAGTGGGCAAGCGGGACGCACGCTTTTAATGTTCCCCCCCTGCGGTCGCAATGGACTATTTGCAGGGTGGGGGGGGGATGTATGATTAGGCGAGATGATTAGTCCCTGCGTAACACATGTAAAGCCCTCGCTTCGATTTCCAGTTTGATTTTCCAGTTGATTTTCCATTATTGGGGCATAGTCCCATAAGTCCTCTTGTAGGCCCAAAGGAGGGGAGGCAATGACCAAGCAATTTTGAACCTACAGGGCTCTGCATTCCAAGGATCAGCGGAGTCATGCCACAATTGCGGACAGGTTCTCCAGAATGATATCTGTCCTGAAAGGAAAGTGAGGCTGCAATCGACATACGATACATGACATAGACACAGAAACGTACTTGTAGACATGTAGGTTTCGCAGTCCATGCTTTCAAACTAAGACTTTCTGCAGTCCCAGCATCCAACGTGATCAGCTTCAGTGGCTGCCGCGAATTCACATCCTTGGAAGGGGAATTACCCAGTTTAGGGGTTTAGGGTTTAGGGTGGTTTAGGGTTTAGGGTTTGGGTGTTCTTGCCCGGCTGCCCAGTTGCTGAATGCCCTAGGCTACAAACGTGTACAATTTTTGCCATAATAAAACCATAGGAACAGGAGTTGAAGCGATAACTTTACCTGCACAGCTGCTATTCTGGCAAGGGCTACACAGTTTTTGGGTGGGGATACGCCCAAACTACTAAAGCATATTGGGGTTATAGGAAACTACTTAACCCTAAACCCTAAACCCCTCAACCCTAAACCCTACACCCTAAACGCTAAGCGCTTAACCCTAAACCCTAAACGCTTAACCCTAAACCCTAAACCCTTAACCCTGAACCCTAAACCCCTTTGAGATGACAACAAGACTTGAGCAGCTCACAGCTTGGACTCCATAGGTGGATGGGCTCAGAGCTCAGCAGACTCAAACAGTCTACTGGAAGGAGGGGCTCTTACACATATTGGGGTATACTTTAGGAGGACCTTCCACCCTGTAATAGTGGTATAATAGGAGTATAATAGGACCCTACTATAATCCTTATTATCCCTATAGTCACTATTACAGGGTGGGGGGTCCTCCTACGCTATACTATATTGGGGCTATATAGGGATAGTAGAAAAGAAAATGGAAGCTCCTATACATAATATCTAGTATCCCCCCTCAATAATAGAGAATCAAATGGAACATAAAATGGAAAGTGCTATATGTATAGTGTGATGTAGTGGATTACAGGTTGCATTACTTGCACATATTGGAGTATATTATATTCGGGTTATATAGGGATAGTGGAAAAGAAAGTGGTGGCTTCTCTGTGAATATCTAGTATCCCCCTTAATAATGGAGAATCACATGGAAAATAAAATGGAAAGTGCTATATATATAGGGCTATCTTGCACATATTGGGGTATAGAATATTGGGGTTAGAAAGGCATAGTGGAAAAGAAAATGGAAGCTACTATATTATTAAAGAATATGTGTTGGGGTTATCCCCCTTAATAATGGAGAATCGAATGGAAAATAAAATGGAAAGTGCTATATATATATATATAGGGTTATGTGGTGGAATATGGGCTGCATATGACAGATCCCCAAGATACTGTACTTCACGCGGTGGCGTGTTGGGATCAGCGCGGTGCAAGATTTCCTACATCACAGGTCAACGTGGGACTTGCGTGGCTAGAGAAAATCCCTACTTTGGATACCAAAAAGGGCACGCAGTATGTTGATGTATCAGCCATGTGGCGGGTCTCTGCTTTATTACCTTACATCAAGACCTTAATCGAATCTCGAAGCTAACCGCCCTCAAAGAAACATCCCATAAGAGGACCGCTGCGCTTGCCCTGGCCATCTCTTTAAAAGAGGCTGTGTCCCAAAAAATCTACTGGGATTAAGAAGCTTGATGAAGGGGATACTTGTGGCTATTCATTGTATCTATATGGCTTACAAGGTAAGGGTAGGAGTCAAATGCTGGTAGCCAGCTTAGTCCCGACAGGACCAGCTAACAAGACAACACTAGCACATGCAAAACCTGAAAAATCCCGCGTCCTTCGGGGGTGATCAGCCTACCTACTGAGCCCTTCAGACCCTAAGCCCTAAACCCTAAATAACATAGTAGCTTCCATTTTTTCCATTTTCAACCCCCAAATCCTAGACCCTAACCTACTTACAAAGCCCTTGCCCTGACCCTGCAAGTAGAGGCTTCCCATTATGGGGGTCCCAATAATAAGGACTATAATATACTGGGATTTAAATTGGGGGTCCCCCTTTTTTGGGAAACTACAATCCCTTTTTGTTGGGACAAGAGGCAGCTCCCAAGCTGATCTGTTCGGTCACCACCTGCCGCAGGAGATGCACGACGGGGGGGGAGGGGGTATATAGGGGTTATGTTGGGAATATATGAACTATAGTCTAAACTNNTAGACTATGGCTCATATTGGGATAATGGAAAAGAAAATGGAGAGTACCATCTTTGGATTTAGGGTTTAGGGGTTCAGGGTTTGGGGGTTTAGGCTTTGGGTTTACATCCGGGAGTTTGCCCTAAACTGCTGCTTGCGCAAACCCCAACGGGTCCGTGCAGGTAATTATATAGAAAGCTATGCACTTGAGGCCGGGGGGTCCCACATAGCTACTTTGGGGGCCAAGTATTATACTATATCTACATGGACTCTTTGGGACAGGGAATCTTGATCCAGGAGCCATATTGTTATCAAGTGGAGCTGCCCATAAAATGGCTCCTATCCTGCAACAGGGTGCAAATCCTAGACGCCGGGCCCTTCCACACTTCCACACGGAGGGTAACTCATTACAGCAGCGCCCACGCTAAGCAGGGACTGGTAGAGGAGCAGCACTGCTGTTGAGGTCCCAAAGTAAGCTACTATAATACGGGAAGCTTCTTCATGTACTACATACCCATAATATGCTAACTTAACAACCTTAAACCCTAAACCCTTAAGAGCAACCTAGTTCAGGGAGGGTGCCGTCTGGTGTTTGGGTGAACGATGACGAATACCGCACTTTTCTGGAAGTCTGTTCGACGCCTGGTCTGCTTCACGAATGAGTCAGAGGAGTTCTGCAAACTAGCTGACTCCTGGCCTACTGTTATTGTAGTGCCCTAGATATTCTCAAATGGACAAGAGCATGGAAATTGACATAGAAACTGGGTTTATGTAGGGGCGATACAAACGAGTGTAGGGGCCTAAATCATCATCAATGTTGCTTTGAAGTGTATTTGAGGTACCCGATGCCAAAAATACACAAAACATTTGGAACCACAACCTTGCATGGTAATCTTGCACATGTCTACATGATAGGGCTTCATCTCTTTACCGTCGAACTCTTCCTTCCTCTGCCTCAGTCGATAATGCAAATCCATGAGCGCTGGCATTAAGTAACGGCGCGTTCGTACTCCTGCGCCGACCGTTTCTGTCCTCTTGCCTTTTCTGGCAGTAATGTCTTGGAAGTCTCTGAGATTGTGATGCCCCGGGTTCGGAACCTTTTTTGGGCTCTCCAGGTTCTTCACCTGAACTAGGTCTGATGATGAAAGCTATGTCATGAAAGAAGGAAATCCTCGACCATGGCGGCACAGGGTCTTGCAACATCACCAGAGTTGCTGCTTCATAGCCGTTGTCTGGAAGATGACTTGCTGAAAACGCCAGCTGCACTTGGCTCGCCGCCTTTGCAAAGCAATCCTATCCTGTCTGTCCACAAGGCTTCAGTCATCTTCCATACCGCCAGCAGCATCTGAGATGGTTGGCACTGTGACTCCGGCCCCCCAACTCTCAAAACTGAGAATGCATCAAAGCCTTCCGCTTGCAGAAATTCAGCAGATCCAGCGTTACATGTACAAACTGCAAGAAGCCTGTGAACCTTTGTGGAAACGTGTTAAGGATTTGAGGCCTCCTTCAGCAAAGCTTGACGGCGAAGCCTGGTTAAATGGCAAGTTGAGACAGCATGCGTGCAAAGGATCCTGCCGCTAAGAGCAACAGGCTCCAAAACTTTGTCACTGGACCGCAGGGGAGATCTTTGCATTACAAATCTTGCGTAACAACGGGCTGCAGGAAAGAGGCCTGGGCAACATCTTGCGCTGCTCACGTCGGATGTCTGGAGTCCAGGTGGCGTGCAATTTGATACAGCTTTTTCTGCGTGAATTAATCCTGGAAGAGTTAGTCATACAGAAGGAGCCAGCTGCTGCAATGAGCCTGTACCGCTGGGACGCCTTTGGATTTTTCAGCCAGCCCCACTCCTCTCCTAGCAAGATACCCTACTAATGAACTGGCAGGGGCGGGCGGGAGCCGGGGGGGAGGTGGAACATGGATTTTGGAAGCACAAACCCTATTCAATCCCCTGCCCCTGCCCCTCATATTTCACATCACAGGAAAATAACAAATAATATTATACTACCAGTTTGTATTATCGGGAATATTCATTATTAGGGGAGTCCCCTAAACCCTAAACCTTGTTATCACGGGAAGTGGATCCATAGCAAGGAGGGCTGACTGGTATCCTTAAACCTCAAAAGATGCACCCTATTGACTGTGGTTTGGCTGTTTGTTGCTTAGGCTTTATGGTTTCGGGATGTTTCGGGGTTTAGGGTTTAAGGTTTATAGTTTTGTTGTAGTTTTGGGATTTAGGGCTTATCGTTCTGTTCTAGTTTTGGCGTTGAAAGGTTTTGAGTTTGGGGGTTTAGGGTTTCGCGGCTTAGGATCGCTTCTTTAAGGTCGAGGATGAGACTGGGCACGTGGATTCGGGAGGTCCCAAAGGCCAAGAGGCCAAGACGTTAGGTGGGGGTTTCCATAAACGAGGCCTTCTTGAGAGTTGGGAGTCCCTTTCTTATTTGGAGATTACAGGGTTTCGGGTTTAGGGCTTGGGGTTTAGGGTTTAGGGTTTGTCTGTTGCGTTCTATGTTAAAGCCCCGATCTACAGCAGGAAATGCTCAAGTTACACAATTCCAAGAGCAACAAAAGCCCTCATCATACATGGCCTTATTAATTATTACACCAGTGACCGCTACCGATTCGTACCCTAAACTCTCGACCTGGTTGGCACCTCTCCATTATACTACTGAACTCTCAAAGGTGACCCTCTTCATCAGAGTCAAGACAGGTCCCGAGAAGCTCTCTGCCAGAAGTCGTATTCTACAGGGGCCTAAGTAGCAGAAGGAATCTGAGCTATAGTCTAAACTCCTAGTATCCCCCTTAATAACCCCTACAAAAATTCCCCTAACTATAGAATCCCGTATATAACCCCCTTTAAGGAGTTTAGACCATAGCTCATCTAAAGCCATAATGTATGTAGCCCCTAGCGTACAGCAGCTGCATGAGACCATCCCTGGGCCTTCTCACATACAAGTTGATGAAAACTACCTCGGGGTCCCTTGTTTACTGTCTATCCCACAAAACCCTAAACCCTAAACCACAAACAGTAGGCTTCCAAAGAGGCACCCCCCCTTCTTCATATGCTCCTTAGGGATTGCCATGCAAGGCGCATCCGTGCTGTATGAACCAGGTAGGGTGTAGGAATTGCGAAAACGTATGCATTTTCCCTGCAGACATCACACTCAATCTGCATAGAAACCACTTTCTCAAAAAAACTGACACTCATATATTTTGGCAACTAGGCACTTCAATTTCAAATTATCAACTCAAAGCCCCTAAACCCTAAACCATGAACCCTGAAGGGGCCTCCCAGCTGCAACCATTGCAACCCTTGCAGCATAGCTCCAGGCATGAGACGTCCGGGAAGCTCCGAGAGCGTTTAAAAAGGTTTTGATGGTGCAAGTTTAGGGTGGCTGTTTCTTCCTTCCTACGTTAAGCTGATCCCAACCCTGAAATGGTAGTTTCCCTAAATAGGGGACCCCAATATAGACTCCAAAATGCTATAGTCCTTGTTAATATAGGGAACCCTTCAAAAATACACCAAATCCTAGGAAACCCTAAACCTCATATATCCCCACATAATCCTTATATACCCCTACATATCCCCCTATAAATCCCCTTTGAAATGAGGGCATCCAGCGAAGCTGAGGCGGGGTGGGGTCATTGTAGTTTGACCTGCTCTCCTCTTCATCACCATGAATATTTAGGGTTCAGGGTATAGGGCTTGCGTGCAAAGAACGATCCAGATGTGATGGATTCCATGTTACCCGTCTTCGCTTTCCCCCCGACAGAACACGCCCGCACACAACATGAATAATATGTGTATATATGACCTATATATATATGCGCACATTATACCAATGTCCCATCATGATATACATATGTATATATATATGCATATCGAATGAAACGAAGGCCATCATGCGATAACTGACCCACGGTTTGTCCTAGGATCATCAGCGCTTTGCGTTTAGGGTTAGGGCTTGGGGCATGGGAGCTTATCTTAGACGCATCCCTAAAAACCACAGGAGAAGGCTACCCCAATTGGCCCCGGGTTTCCATCTGTGATTCATGGCCTCCATGGTCTGAACTGTTCTATGTATCGACAGACAAAGTTCCTGGGAATCCTAGATGCACCCACCAAAACCTACAGCACAGTCCTACCCCATATCCTTTCACACGGCTCAGCATGCGGCTCAGCCTGAGAAAAGAAAGCAAACAAGGACTTCACTGTTGAGGTCACCTGTAACCTCGTCAAGGTCCATAAGAATGACTATTGTACTATAGTAATAGGGTTTATAATGGAAAGAAAATGGAAACTACTATAATAATGGCGTTTATAACGGAAAGAAAATGGAAACTACTATAATAATGGCGTTTATAACGGAAAGAAAATGGAAACTACTTTAATATTCTGGGGTTCATGAGAGGGAAGCCGATGTTCGGAAACCTCCGAATATTCCTGAGGATGTGCTTGAATGCCTGCCCATATGGATCCTATTGCCTATGGGCTCATAAGGAACAAAGTTTATTGTTGCCCACCTTTCACGGACTGAAAGGAAAGCTGTTGCATGAGCTCTTCACATTCGTCTGCGATCAATACCACTCCCCTCCTGCGAGCAAAAAATCGTAACAAACATTGTCCACATGCCTGTCCTACATGATGCGCCAGGGGCAGAGAAGCGTGTAAGCCACAGATTTTGGTAGGTCCAGCGTCAAAACTCTGCATGGGGATTTCAATGAGTGTGGGTCCCTTGCCACGGGCCCCAGCAAGAAGGAGGATTGTTTTTCACACAAGGAGGACCAGCCCTACTTTGGAAATATCCACATGGCTTACACACTTCACCGGTGACCGGGCTCATGGCATCCAGCAGGTACCGTGTGGGTACTCTATCTAAACCACGAAGAAGAAAATCAATCCGTCTAGGGGCCTAGCTTTTCTTACAAAAAAAACAAGGTCTTGATAGCAGTCTGTTATTTGCTTTGGCTGTTTCTTAGTAGGCTTGATACCGCCATCCGCGCTCCAGGATTACCCATGCAAGGGCTACAACTGTCCTCGCTCTCTACTCTCATTGCCCTTGGCCGGCGTTGCTTGGCTCGAAGTTATCCTCGTTAAGCTCTCTATGCTAGTTCGTGATACTTCAGCTGCAGCAGCAGGAGGAGGAGCAGCTCTGTTGCTCACCACAAACTATCACCTCCAGCAAACATCATCCAAACACTACTGTGATTTCTGTACTCCAGGTATTAGCGAGAACCACGGCGGTGCCGGCCACAAGTATGACGGCGACTACAGCTGCAACTGGGACACGTAATGGTACAGGTGCGACTGCCCTTAGCACAGCTTCTGGCTTCCTATCCACCATATGGTCGCTTCCCAAAATAGGGGGACCCTAATATAGACCCCCAAAATACTATAACCTCTATCATAGGCACCCCCTAAACACAAACAGAGTACCCCTAACTTTGGGAAACCCCCTTATTCATGAAGCCTAGCGGCAGCCGCGTCCATGGCGAGGCTTAACCTGCGGGCTGGGGCGCTATCGGCAGCGAGTATGGCAGTCAGAAGGAAACAAATGGTAGTTTCCAAAAATTAAGGATACTGTTTTGGGGGGGCCCAATAATAAGGACTGTAGTATACTGGGGTCTACATTGGGGTCTCCCTTTGTTTGGGAAACTACTAATACAGTCACAGCGTCCATCTCTGCATAGCTTATCCCCGCGTAGTCTCCTTCGTAAACCCTTTTGATTTTGGACTTTCGGGGCAGGCGTTCTTACTCTCATCACTCTCTGCACACATCATTGGAAGTCAGCAACAACTTACCGGTCCTCAATAGGAAATATGGGAATATACTATATAGGGATTATATTCCCTTATTCCCTGCTAAGAACCAGTAAGACAACGAAGACAATTGCGGCCCATAGCAGCCAGCGCCTCGGGCCCCAGGGTGTACAAGTCCACGTAGCCCATGTGCTTCTTGCCTTGGGTAGCCGAATTAACCCCTAGAGCTTAGGGTTTAGGGTTATGTAGGGTTTTGGGTGTATATTACTCCAATAATGGAAGATCAAATGGACAAGAAAATGGAGAATGAAATGGAAACTGGGGCTATATAGGGGTTCTAGGGTAGTTTCCCAACGTAGGAGGACCACAATATAGACTCCAAAATACTATATTACTTACTATAGCGAACCCTTTTTGAGCTACCCATAACTTTGGGAAACTGCCAGGCTCAATTATTCAAAAAAATAGGGGTTGGGGCAGATCAGGAGCAATCTAACCAACGACTCAATCTTCCGCTGGCAGCAGCACTTTAGGGTTTAGAGTTTAAGGTTTAGGGAGGAAGTGTTACGCAGCTGTACGAGGCACGGCAGAAGCGGCGAAAGTGGTACGAGAGCCCCTTCAGAAGGGATAGAATCCTGGGCTTTGTTGGCTTTGGGGTTTGCTTCCACCACAGTTAATCCTCCCGAAGCATTTGCCTTTCGCATTTCGTGTCCAGGGCATCTACAGAACAAAGATAGCAAACCGACAGTAAAATTCAACAGCTCCTCACATCAGGTTCTTGATGGACAAAAACCCTGCATGACCCTACACAGCTGAAACATGGGAAGCATGAAGTAAAGTAGTATCATGTAATGAGCTTTCCCAAGTAGTAACTCCCCCAGCCTCTAAGGATACGCCGCGGTACACTATCATTATACATTTCGGATTAGGGTTTACAGTCTAGGGAGTGGTGAGAAGGGCTATTACCAGGGTTTGGGGATTACATACCCTAAGCCCCGTAGACCCTAAACCCTAAAACCTGAGGACTACCTGACCTTAAGCCCTCAAATCTGGGGATTGCCTGACCTTGAACCCTAAAATCTGGGGATTACCTGACCTTGAACCCTATAATCTGAAGATTACCTGACCCTAAACCCTAAAATCTGAGGATTACCTAGCCGTTTTGCGGAGCTGAGGATCGCTTCCAGGGCTGCCTGGCGAGTTTCGCGCCTGGGGTTTAGGGTTTGGGGGTTTAAGGGTTTAGGGCTTAAGGGTTTAGGGTAAGGGTTTAGGGTTTAAGGGTTTAAGGGTTTAGGGTTTACGGGTTTAGAGGGTGAAGGGCTGCGGGTTTCCGCAAATTATTCCGAAAGTTGCAGATTTCCTTTTGCTACTATGACTGTTATACTATGGTTACTATTATTGGTATTACTATTACCATTACTAGTACTATTTGTAGCATTGTTATTGTTACTATTACTCTTGTTTGGGCGGGAAAACTATCATAAAGGTGTTTTTGCAGAGGCAACACTTGGGCAATCTCAGCATGCAAGGGGCTTGTTGAGATCTTGTGACCTATTCAAGGCTACGTGCAAGCCCACCAAAATTCTCCCTGCAGACCCCTGCCAACGTACTGTAAACCCTAAATCCTGAGCCCTAAACCCTAATGCTGTGCTTGCCGCTTGGTTGCGTTCCACATGAGACAGCCAATTGGAGTGCCTCATCCCGCTCCACAAGCTTCCCACCTGGCCCGGGAACCTCCAGGTAGCCACTTCCTCTACCACAAACCCGGACGTCGGCACCGATCTTTTTGATGGGCATCATGTTGCAACCACGTTTTCCGATAAGCCTGGGCACCAGCTCGAAATCTGCATGCTTCTCCTGGTCATAACCTGTGAAGAGAATCTTGAAGTCATGTGAGTTCTTGGCTGGACTGGGGGGATCTAGACCCGGCGGAGGGGGAATGCTCATGGTGCTCGTGTCCGAGGTCGGGGAAGAGGCGGACTTCAGTTCTGGCAACCTGCCAGGCTTCATGACTTTTGGGGCCCCATCCGGGAGTTGCAAGGCTTGCCTCATGAAGCTTGGAAGACAAAGGAAGGGCTCCGGATCCAACAACTCATCCTCGCTGTTCTGCACGGAGGCGTGCTTGGAGACAGCGATGGGCTCTTCAATCTGAGGCGAGCAGTTGAACTCATCAAGGTATTTCCTGGGCTGCGCGTCTAAATCCCCTGGAACATGAATGAGGTTCCCCATTCAATGACACAGGAAGTCAACAGACTCGGCGAACAAATGCTTACTGGTGGTGAGTAGGGAATATGGACATATAACGCCCACATAATCCCTGAAAAATATATTTCCCTTATTCCCTACTAGCCCTCAGCAAAACCCTAAACCCCCACACCCCGAGTGCAGCTCAGTTTCGGGACACTCCAGGCAGGCAGCTGGTAGCCAAAAGGGTTTGCCTTGTTCTTCTGCTGAACAGAGATGTCGGATGGGAATGGAAAGTGCGCATTCATCGGCACACCTAGGACCCAGACCCCTGGGAGGATCTAGCAAGTAGATTCCCCTTAGCGACTCCTCGAAATCCTGGGGGTTCTGCCTTCTAGATCCACCCAGGGGTATGGGAAGCTATCTTGGCTCGTGCAAGTCGGTTCCTGAATGTTCCTTCACAGTTGCGCACAGAAGGGCTTGAGGACTCCCAAGCCTCAATGGGGCCTCATGATAACAAAATTGAAATCATTGAACAACCTCGGGCGGTAGACGTGCACATGGATTGGGGGACCCCATGAACGCGGGGACCCAACATAGACCCTAACATACTAGAATCCTCATCAAGCAAAAAAATCGCCTGGTGGAAATCCCCAACTTTGCTGTCCAAACGCTCATGCCGAAGGCAACCTTATCCTGGAAAGTCATCGGCTACGGCGGCAGGACAAGTCTTCGAATCTGCTCTTGTGGCATATGCTATAGTGGCCAAGGTGTTCTGAGACTTGTATTTGCATATGAACATGTGACATCTCAAGTGAGCCAAGCCTAACAGCGGCAGAAGCCAGGACTTTCACGAAATAACTCCTATGAAGGGTGGGATTTCTGAAAACTGGCGGGGGGTCCCTTTTTGGAGACCCTATAATAAAGAGTATAGCATTTTGGGGTCTACAGTCAGATCGCCATACTAATGAAAAGTAATATAGTTCTGGAGAGGGGCCCCTATAAGCCTTTGTACCTTCGTAAGCCAGATGCACGCCGAGGACCCCCACGACCCCTTCAGTGGATATTTCCCCGTATAACGCAGAATTAAATCTGCAAAGAACGTGGGAAATGAAATGAACACTAGGATCATAAGTTATATGGGGTTGTGTACTAAACGTGTTGCATGACCCTAACCTGTGCCCTTTTGCCATCGGACTGATGCTTGTCGATAAGATCAAATCCACAACGTAGTATACTAAGGTAATGAAGGATCTTTAGCAGTAACACCCAATATACAAGAACTCCCCTCAAATCTGGTTGGACTGCGCGAAAGATTTGATTACCTAGAGCCTCCACCTACCTTTAATCAGGGCCTAAGCACCGCTATTAGGGGCCATATTTCCCCAATGCAGCGTATTAGGAGGGTCGTAGTACCTGTCAAACTGGGATCCATTTGGGTGGTTGTCAAAATGATGGTCCCTTTTTTGATCCCTACTATAAATACGGCACCTAATATTTAGGGTACCCTAAAAGGGACCATAATTTTGACAACCACCCATTTCTTGGCAAGCCCAAGTGATGCATCACCATCATCCAAGAAAATTGATGTCGACAGAGCCATATGATTCCGTTGATCCCGCTGGTCTGTATCTTTGCTTCGTGTACTATAAGACCTACCAATAACATGAACTTTCCTCGCATTTCATCCCTGGCTCCAAATCTAGTTTCCGGGCAAACGCGGTTCCTGGATTACTAAAACACTGACCGAACTACTCTTCTGCCTGGTTTCGTGTAGATGGGCGCAGCTAGCCACATGTCAGCCCCTCTGAGATACACTGAGATACATTGCAGCTCTCGACCCGATATGTCAAAAGCAACTTCCGAATATCTCTAGACTACTACTGTTAAGTACCACTTTTGTAAGTAGTACTACTTTTAAGTAGTACTACTTTGAGTAGTGCATAACAACTGACAATGCTTGAGCACCGCGTGTTCGCCTGCCTCCAGATTCCCTTCCCTTGCTGCACGCAAGAGCTTGCTCTCCAACGACGGCGCCGCCTCAGTCACATGAGCTATAATCTGAACTCGTAGTATCCCCTTTACTCGTGGAACATCAAGTGGAAAAAACATGGAACATTAAATGGAAACTGCTATGTATAGGGTTATGTAGGGGCTAGATGAGGTATAGTCTAAACTCCTAGTATCCCCATTAATAATGGAACATCAAGTGGAAAAGAACATGGAACATTAAATGGAAACTGCTATGCATAGGGTTATGTAGGGGCTAGATGAGGTATAGTCTAAACTCACTCCTAGTATCCCTCTTAATATCCCCTACGGTAGCCCCCTTCATAATCCCCTTTTAAACGCCTTAAGGAGTTTAGACTATATTACACATGCCATGGGGCGAGTTTGCTTTCTCTGGAGACATGCAACAGGAGACAAAAGCGAATTGTCCAGCAGGTTCGCACTCACAGTGTGAATCGATTTGATTTGGCGTGGCGCCACTGCAATTGTACGCTATGCGCAAATTTTGATCATCTTTCAGAGCTGCGGGTCACGCCGCAGCTTTCTGACCTGCACCCCTGTAAGGCCGGCGCTATATTTGGATTGAGATCTTGTATGCAGTCCTTGCAGGGAGCTTGCCGGATACGGTTTTCAAACAGGCTGTCTTTCCCAAATTCAGAGCTGAATTTTCAACATCCGCAGTTGTCACTAGTTGGGTTCCGCAGCAGGCACTGAACTTAGAAATCTGTGGCATGGTATACATGTGCACACCGAACATGCAAGCCTAGCACAGCGCGGTCTGTAAAACCTATTGGCCGCAAACACTCCACACCAAACCCCATAGTATTTTCCATTCTCCCAATATAACCCCTTATAACAAAACAGTGCGCCTGCACAACACCCTCACAGCGCGGTGGCGCGCGGCAGTCTGTTCGGCAGTGCACCGTCGCAGCTTGGCCCATGTCGAAACCTCGGAACTCTTGCGCAAGAAGCAGTGAGGGCTTCTATCAGAGTCGTGAGTCTTGGTTATTCAGTTTAATGTTGGACCCTCTTTATGCACGGGCACCCTCTTTAATGTCAAGTTTTGCGTGACAAAGTATTTATTTTTTAGGTTTGAAAAATCAAACATTTAGTCTTGAATAGTAAAAATATTCTTCATCAGATAAGTCAG